GCATTGTAACAGATACAGCCCTGTTCCAGGATTGTTTTGTGCTAACCTTCAGTTTGACAGCCTGGCCAAAATGATTACTCCATCTCCATACATAAGCCAAAGACCAAAATCAGACTTACAAGGACAAGTGAGTACAAACATTTGTCTATGAAGTTGTAGATGTCCAACTCTGGCAAAACAACAGCTGTGCTACTCTTTTACACTCTCTCTTACAACTCCAGTGCCTGGTTTCCTACCTTAAGGTCAGGTTCTTAGAATAAATGCCACAAAAATATTTCAAAGTAATCAGACTGCATGTGAGTTCTTCAGAGTTTCAGATGTCCAACCAGCAGCCCCATGGCACACTGAGTTATACTTGGGAGGTTATCCTCACCACTCCTTAAGAAACACAGCCTATGCTAGAGCTGGGTTTAAAGTACTTGGATAATGAAATCTTACAGTGTCCTACTTAAATTTTTCCTATTTTGTAAACAGATTGCATATTGTTTACTGATGGACAGAGTAACTCCCAGTCAGAAACCAAGCTGTTTGTTCTGTCACATTACAGAATACTGTAGTTTTCAAATCCAGCAAATCCATTATCCTATAGAAAATGGAGTCCCAGTTCCCCAGTTCTCATACTACACAGATCTTTACTAGGAGCTTCAATCTTTACAACTAGTCAGCAATACTGGCATCATTCAAGGCAAAGACTAAATAGTCCATTCTTTTATTTTAATAGAGTAGAATAAGAGCTTTAGAGAGGATTTAGGATTATGTTAAAGACATAATGCATAATGGAATTACTTGCTGTCATTTCCCTTCCTAAAGTGAAAGTTTGTTTTGATGTTTAAGTACATATAAGAGTTTACAGTTTCATTCTTAAATGCCCCATCACCTACTAAATCAAGTAGCACATACCACACAGTCCTTGGAATACAGATTGGATAACAGAATTCATGTCATACTTACACACTCATTCTGTTTATTAGACTGGCAGAAGCACAAATGGGTTACAATGGGAGAAACATGCTATTTTATAATTAGGGCAATTTGTTTCTGAGGGGGAGAATACAAGTGGAAGTGCTCAGGAACATGCAATAAGACCTAAACTCCAGAGAAATCAAGAACTGAAATAATTTCACCTCTTCTAAAATGAAAAATTTGCTTTGTGTCCATTTTTCTACATTGTCAAGTATTTCTAAGCCCTAAAAAGAGCAAATTTTACAAGTGAGATGTGCAATACACATGTTCTCCAGATACAGAAGGAAAACGGTTCATTTACATTTCTCTTGAGAGAGTTACTGCAGAACACTGGAAGCACACTGCATTTTCTCTTGTAAATTTATGTAAAGCAACAGCTAAGTTCTGACACAGACATGCATTTTTCCTTTTCACCACAAAGATGGGAGCAGAGAGGTTTTTAATAATGCAAACTGCCTGTGTGCAGATCTTAAGATCTTCGTTTTAGTAAATCTGATTAGTTGTGCTGGAGTTTAACAGCTCCATCCGAAGGCTCTGAAACAAAACAAGACTTCAAGGATCTTCTGTGATGTTGAACAGCCTTCACTTACCAGCACTTCACATTCTCTTCTGACAGCATTACTATAAGTGAAAAAGAGATAAAAGCAGCACCAAAATCCTTCTCTTCTACTTTTTCACAGCCCACCTAACAAAATTATTCAGAGAATTTTCGATCTAAAACTAAGCCTGTTCTTTTAAAGAGCAAAAGGCATTAATGTAGTGCAAGATATACAAGTCAGCCTAGTTGAAGTTTACTTAACTGTAAAATAAACTCTTAATTTTTTTATTTAGTTTCACATCTCCTATTCTGTATTCAGAATACTCTCTGTTCTGTAGAAGTGAGTAACAGCAAGCTGTAAAAAGAGCAGCCATAGAAAAGAATTCTTTTTCAAAGGTCAGCATACTGCAGCAAAACATGGACGTTGCAGAAGGATGGCTGTTCCCATCCTTACAAGAATTCCATGAGCATTCTGTTTTCATGAACAGCATGCCAGAAAATGCCATCCTCCCTTGTCAAGGCAAAAGCCTGGTACGTACAGACTGTCAAGGTTTTCCAAAACCCTACCGTAATTTCAAGTTTCAAAGGCTGGCTGATAAGGACTACAAGTTTGTTTCTGTGTGCTTTCTAATGTTTTACAACCCAGGTTTTCTCATAAACCTACTGCTCAGTTTTTAAACACGCACTGATTGTTTGGGTTGTGAGGAGTTCCACGAGCCTTGATAAGCAATCTTACTCCCCTGTTTACGTGCACAGGCACAGCTCGGGCTTAGGAGGAGGAAGTTCATCTTTCAGACTCCAGAAATAAAGTACAGCATTCCTGTAAGGAGTTTCTTCTTTGCATTTCAACCTGCCCATCTGTTTATTTTCCTCCTTTCCCTTTTGGCAAGGCTATTAGTCACTTCCATTTAGGCTTAAAGAGAGAATCCCCAGAAAAAGGTTGTCTGCATGTTGAGAGCACACTAACCTCTAGAATGGAACACTGTTTCTTAAAAGCTCACAGAGTCAACTGGTGATTATTTCACTCTTTTTAATTAAAAGATGAAAGTAAAGAAACAAGGCAAGAAATCAGTTGTTATACATTGTGAAGTCTCTTTGTAGGTCTTCTATCTCATGAACACTGACATAGTAAAAACATTGCTTCAAATTTTCAACTCTCTTCCCTTTGACAGCCAACTATGGTTTCAGGATCTTACTTAAACTGATTTGTTTGTATCCTAGAGCCAGGAAAACATCTATTTTGGGCAAAGAGTATATAAATACAGCTTTCAAACAGTTAGATATTTTATACAGTAGACAGTTAGAGAGACCTGTTCCTGTCTCAAAAAAAAGTTTTTGCTGTCAGATGCCTGATCTCAGTGTGAATACTGAGATCCCACCGATCCCAAGAATTAATGTATTTCAATCTAAAAGCAAAAAGCATAAGACTGAAGGAAGTTTGCAGGAAGCCACTTCACAGCTTCGAGCTGACCTTTAAAACAAACTCGGGATTAAGAACAAAAAGTAGAACCAAGTAAATACCAGTCATAGATGCCACTAAGCTCTTAAGGAAATTGCACATTCTTTCCATATCGTGGCTGTTGAAGATTTTTAATGCAATTATACTTGTATTCCTGCGGCTCTTTCCTCATCTGTGAAATGAGAACAGGATTTACCCCTTGCATACAATGTTTGAAGACCTATTGATGGAATGACATACAGGAGCTGGAAATGTAGAATTGTGAGGCGTAGTGGAGTTATTTGTGTATTTTAATAAGAAAACCTAAAAAGACATTAATAAGGGACTTGCAACTAATCGAGTACTGCTACAACTACACCTTGATCGAACGGGAAGCCCTTACAAAGAGCTCAACAGGGCGCAATAGCGCATCCCACCCTGGTGCTCCCAGCGCCCGCCCCCGAGGCAGCACCGCTTCGCCTCCTGTTCAGGTGCAACTTTTCGGAGAGCCGCTTCACCTGCGGTCGGGCGAGAAGAGACCCGGCACGATCCCCGCCCCGGCTGCGGCGGCTCCTTCTCTCACACAAAGACGGCCCGCAGCCTCTCCCCGTGACAGCGATTCCGCGGTCGGCGGGAAGTCGCAGCGCGTGGCGGGGACCCCCCCGCCCGGCATCGACCCGCACCTTCCCGCCGCCGCCCCGACGAACAACACCCGAGCGCCCTTCCTCGCGCGTGCCGGTGCTCCCCGCCGCCCCAGCGCGGCTCCTTCCTCAACACGCCTCCCCGCCGCAGCCCCTTCCCCTCGCACACGCGCCTCCCGCCGCCCCTTCCCGTCACGAACCCGCCTCGCTGTAGCCCCTTCCCTCGCACACCCCCGAGGCGGATCCCCACGGCCCCCTCTCTCACACACGCGGCTCTCCGCACCCCCCGTCTCACACGCTCTCCGCTGTCCCCCGTCCCGGCTCACCTTGCTGCAGGTCCTGCTGGTCGTACCACGGCTCATCCTCGCGGATCTCGAACTCCTCCACCAGGCTGTCGGCCAGCATCGCGCCCCTTCCCCTCACGGGCGGGCGGCGGTGGCGGCGGCGGCGCCCACCCGACGATCCCCTCCGCCGATCCCCGCGGGGCAGGGCAGCCTTCCCCTCGCCCTCCAGCAGCCGGCCTCCGGCCATTGGCCGAGCGGTTCGCGACTTTGCCGAAACCCATCTCCCCCCTTCTGGCCGGGCTGCGCCGGCGCAACGTGGCAGGCAGCCACCCGCCCGCCCCCGCCCCTCGCGCAATCAAACGCGCATCACCTCGCCTCGCCGGCGGCGGCAATGGGGAGGCCGCCGCCCGAGCAGATCGACAGGAGCCTTCACCAATCAGCAAGCGAACCATGGCAGCCGAAGCCAAACCAACTGAGAATGGACGAGCGGCGGCTGGGCCGGGCGATGAGGTCCCGGCCCCGCCGGCGGCTGCGCCGCCCCCGCCACAGGAGGTGGGTCGGCATGCCGCGTGCAGGGAGTGGTGGTCGGCGGCGTTGGAGCGGCCGAGAGAGGGACGCGCCTGCTAAGGATGTCCGCTGGCTTCCGGCGGCGGAGCGGCGCCGGCGACGCGCCCCGGTGCGGCAGGGCGACTCCCGCCGTAGGGGAAGCCGGGCTCATGGGTCGCCCCTCGTGGAGCGCTGAGGGGAGAGCTGTGAGGAAGGGCCCGGCGGCGCGCCCGGTGCGGGCAGCCCACCACCGCTGGAGCCGGCGTGCGGCAGGGCAGGGCAGGGCAGGGCAGAGCGAGGTGCAGGGTCAGTCCGAACAGCGCCGGCTCCATCCCCGCGCCTCGCTCGGGGCGGTCGCTGCCCGCTTTCGCCTCCTTCCCTCACGAGGAGGAGGGAGCCCTGTCCTCTGTCCGGGGACCTGCTGAGCTGAAACGAGCCTGGCTCGCTGAGTTTTGACAGAGGAGCAGCTCCAAACGCCCAGCCCTGCGAGCTCCCCGTGGCCGGCAGGCGGAGCGGGCATCGGGCTCTCTGAGGGCACCTCCGGCAGCATCGCCCCTCGGTGTTACCCTCGGGACCGGGAAAGCGTTTGTTCTTAGGTCTCCCTTAATGTGGTGCAAGTCACGTCAGAAAGATGAGGAAGATAATTGTGTCCAGCCAGTCCGTCAGGACTGTGAGCATTGCACAGCGGTTTGGGACCCAGGACAGAGCAGGATGTCTAGTGCGCCTCAGTCAACATTTGTTATTATCTCTTGGAATACACTTTTTTCTTTTAGACTGGTGCTCTAGTTTCTTTTAGCAGTTGTCATCCAGCGCTGGGAGAAGCGCAGGTAATGTCACACTGCGTCTCTCAAACAGCCCGTCCTTTTGGCTCCCGTGTATTAACGCAGCTGCAACCACCAGAAATTTCTGAAACCGATTTGCCTTCTGTGAGTCACAAAATGTCAACACCTGTGCTTTTAACCTGCTCAATATAAAGGCTGACTATTAAGAAGAGGGAGGGGATACTCATGCATGATTTCACGGTAGTGCTATTACAGAGAACATCTGGGAAAGGAAGTGTGGTACCTCAACTTCTAATTGAACTATTTCATAAACAGGGGGCAGGGGCAGATGTACCAATTAGTGTGGAGTTGTGTCAGATCCTACATATTACAATTAGTCATGACATTAGAGGCAATGTTTGTGCATTGTTAGAAGGTTTTTGTTGAAGAAATTTAAAATTTCTTCCAGTTTTTCTGAAGCTGAGGGGACCTTTATTTGTGCGTAGGAAGGAATTGAGTCAAACGTGATTTGAGCAGTAGCTGTTTGCTGGTAATGTTTGTGTGAAACACATTAGTTCTTGGTGCTCGTGGAATTTGAAGGAAAGGGCAGTCTCCTAATTCTCCATTGGAAGACCTGTGCAGGAGGCTCCAGGTAGAAATAGAGAATAAACATCTACCTTTCCAAAAGTCCTAATATCTACTATATAAATAATTTCATTGAGTGTATTTGTGGAGACTTGAAAAAAAAAATATGACATGTGTCAACACACTGTAGTGATTTTCATGTTAAGATCAAATTTATTTTCAAAAATGAGCATTTCAATTGGGCACCTTTTCAATAACTTTAATCTTCATTTTAGGTTTCTCAGTAAAAGATTGTGAAACCAAACTTGCTATAAAAATATAACATTCCATTCCCTGAAAGTGGAATTGTCTCTACAGCTGTAGGAATATGAAAAAATAAACTTGAAGATATACATCACAATCATCCTTGAGTATTTAAAACAACAGTCATATTCTTAGAAATAAGTTGGCTTTAATAAAAGAAGCCTAGGTTTAAGTTGTTTGCCAGCTTGATTTTTTTTTTCTTAGCTGTGAAGTTATCTGCTCTTTGCATCATGTTTCATATCAGAGCATCTTACATATATATATGCAAAACTGCATCCACACTTTATTTGCTCTTCAAAGGTTCATTCTCTGTGTTGGGGGGGGGTGGGAAAACTGTTCCATCTTTTCCAGTTCTTGCTGGATTTGTGGCTTTTGCCTGGCCCTTGCCTGATGATTGGGAAGTTCCCATCTTTGTGCACAACAGCCTGGCTTGTAAACCACAGGAAGGCTGGAAATGACCTTGGTTTTCATTTCCTGTTTCTTCCATGGTTATTTTTATGAGGAGTTCAGGGAGCTGCTGATCAAGCAGATATTCAAACTAGGTGTTCTGATGGATATGTGAAAATTGCATTTAGGATAAAATTGTTAATATGCAGGGGGCAAAGTGTGAATTATTGACAAACAGCAGGTAGTAAGGCTCTGAGTTCATGTGCATAGTAAGGCTGAAATCTGGACTTGAAATCAGTGACAGACAGCCTCCTTCAACAGATGTAAAGATGAATAAAACCTCAGCTAAACCCACATACTTGGGAGTGTTTTTGTGTTGGGCTCATAGCATCAAATATGGTCAAGGTCTACATCAGGTAGTCATTACTCAGATTTATTAGGTAGAGGTTCCCTGGACCTGGCTCTTTCATGGCACAGTTTATACCAAACATGCTTAAGTTAATTGCTGGATAGATGGAAAAAGTCAGCATCTTAAAAATTTGTTGGCTGAATATCTGATTGATAGATCAAAGGAATCTGTATTCTTGGGCTGAATCTCTTGTTATTTGGACATACTTAAAATGCTGTACCTGTTACTTGCTAGGTTTTATTTACATGCAGTCTTCTATACAATGAAAATGTTAATTAATAGGTGTTTTGATTGTTTTATGGTTTATTAGGTGAAAGTATTGCTTCCATGGCTTGTTAACAATTAACATTTCAAAATCGAAGGGCAAAACTTGGTATTTGCTTTGAAAGAAATATTCCTCTGAATATTCACCCATGTGCATGCTGCAGCAGTGGAATACATAAGGATATGAGTCACTTCATTCCTACACAGTCCATAATTTTAAGAATACACAGCTAACAAGAAAGATCTAAAATGTATGCAATTGCTTTGACCTTTACACCAACATGAGTGTTTGCAACAGCAGGTTTTAAATGGAGTCTGTGCACCAGTTAGGAAGGGACTCTTAAATGTTTGTCCACTTGTTCCATTGATTTTTAAGCACTGACTTATTACTTTTCATCTGTTCAGTTTTAGGCTCAGTGTCTTACAGCTCAGTAAAATGTGTTTCTCATTTAAAAAAAAAGGAAGGAAGAAGAGGAAATTTCCTCCATTTCCACACCTCTGAAACAATCAAATCCCCCGTGATATTTTAATTTGGAAAATTATTCTACTAACTGTTGTAATTCTCTTTTGTGATTTGAGGAGGAAGAGAGCTGTACTTTTGGAAGATGAAGTTTGTTTGGGGGATTCATCCTAATGCTCTGGCATATTCCATGACTACGTTAGGGGCTGGAATGATGAACAGTATCTTTAATTTCTACTACGTTAAGCTTTTCCTAAACCGATACAAAATTTCAGAAGGAGCCTTTAATCAAGCACAGGTATTGTACAACGGAATACTTTGATTACCATATTGTGCTGTGCATCTGTGCTATTACAACAAAGTGATTTTTTTGCTGACAAATTAATTTCGGATGCGTTGTAAATAATTAACAGTAAATTAACTTTTAATTTAGTTAATCCATAAGCAACTGAAAGTACACATAAAGCACATCGTTAAGAGGCTGTAGCGTAAAAATCTCCAGACTTTAATTGCTGAAAAGATTTTTAACTTTGATAGCTTGTAGTAATTTTCTAGACTGATCTTGCATCTCAGCTCCATAGATAAGTTTGACATTAGTGCTTTCCTATGGACTGTTTAAGTACTTAAACACTGCATTTATTCTGGGAGTCATTATCCACGTGAGTAACTCTTGTCGTAAATGGTCTCCTGAAACTAATGGGCCAGCTCATGTTTTGAATTAACTCGCTGTGAGAGTAATATCTGGGCTTTGCAGGATGAAAGCCCAGATATATAAGGTTTTGAAAGAGTGAAGTCTTGGAGACAAGGAGTTTATTTCACATATAGTTGGGTACCACCTGCCTACTTAGTCATCTTATTTTTTCGTGACTTCTATAAACCTGTAAATATCCTTAAGAATTTGATCTAGTCTGTTTTGACCAGAAGAGCTTTCATCTTTATTTATTCTTTGAATAGGGATTTATTTTAAACAAACATGTGTATTACTTCTGTGTTTTCGTAACCTCTGTAGAAAAACGACACTAAAGCTCCATTCCCCTGTGTGTTCCTGTTTGTGGCAGGTCGTGTTTATGATCTGGAACGCCATCAACGATCCTCTCTTCGGGTACATCCAGGACAACTCCAAGCTGCGGTGCTGCGCCAGACGCCAGTTCTCCATTCTGTACGGAGCTCCTTTGTACGGGCTGGCCTTCCTGCTGCCCTGGTTCCCCTGGAAGCAGTACGAGGACGGGGACTGGCTCTGTGGTTTCCACCTCGTCGTTGCCTTGTGTGCCTTCGACGGTTTGCTCACCTTCGTGCTCCTGGCGCAGTGCGCGCTCTTCGCCGAGACCTCGACCAGGCACGAGAGCAGGCTCCAGCTCATCAAGTACAACCAAGTAGCAACGCTAATTGGAACCACAAGCATCCTCTTCTGTGGGCTCATATCGGATAACATGGAAAACTTTACCTATTTCCAGGCTTTCACTGTTTTGATCGCAGCGCTAGCGACAGCTTGTATGTGTTGCACGGGTAAATACAGTACCAGCCAGTATGACCAGAGAGAAATTCATGTGGAGAGTGCTAACCTGGAAAACAGTGAGGGAGCTTTCTCCTTGGCCTCAGTGGTTTCATTGACCAAACAGATTATGACAGAGAAGAACTTTTTATTTTTTGTCACGATGAACTTCTTCCAAGTCTTCCACCTGGCCTTCTACAGCAACTTCATGATAATCTTTGCGGATAATCTTATTCCTACGGATGTCCTTTCTTCCTCAGTCAGAAGTATCATGTATGGAGCGGGTTTTATTTGTCCTCAGGTAGGCAGTTACACTTTTTTATTTTAAAGTATGAAAACCTGGTGTGTTACTAGTTTACAGTATCCGTTTAACACTTGAAAAAATGCTTTATCTGGCAGAAGGCATTGGCCAAAATGAAAAACAAATCTGGCTCAGCGGTGCTCTAGAAGAAAAAAGTCCCTCTGTGCAGGCTACCCAAGTGTAAGGGGTAGTGAGAACAGACAAGCAGGCTGGTAGAATGTCTGTTTAGAACAATGTGAGACATGAGGAGGCAAGGAATGAATGTTTTGTATCCTACAGGGTTTATAATACCTAAGTATAAAGGAATGGAAAACATAGTCAAGATAAAATGTTTCTAAAAGCAAAATCTACAGAATTCTGAATTCTTTCTTCTTTGGTTTTGTTTTGTAATAGTGTGCATTACAGATGAAAGACTAATCTCTTCTTCAGGAAGTTTCTGAGATGAACTGCACAAAATACCAGAAAAATTATTAGGTATTAAAAGCCTTGTTGAAAATATGTGGTATCTCAGTCATGGAAACCAAACAAAACTCCAAATAGCTGCTTTTGGAGAATCTACATTCCCATTTATTTTGTTGTTTGCTCTCTTGGTCAGCTACATTTATGGGGTAGAGAGAGACATACTTTTAAGAGCCCAGACAGGACTGAGGGGAGGAGTAATGAACTGGAAAAGAGAAAGAGAACCTGAAAGAGTAATGTATGAGGACAAGAAAAGCAGCAAAAATACATCCCACAGAATGTAAACATACTTGTCTGCAGTGAATAAAAAATTCTTCTGTTCATTCCCTCCTAACTCCTTTCTCTGGATCTTTTAAAACTTTCACTGTGTTTACTTGCTGGGTGTTGAAAGCCATGATACTCAACATCTGAGTATCCTGAGGTTCAACATAGGTGCTGATGGTTTTCAGAATTTCTCAAAATCAGGCTGTTACATTCATTAAAGTGCAATGGGTTTTGGTACATAATATGTATAAGAAGATAAATGAAAGTGTAACTGGAATTCACAGCTCAGTTTCAGTTACCATTTTGGCTTTTGCATATATAACATACAAACCCTGAACATACCTTCTCTGTTCCATAACTCCTGTAATTTCAACTTTTAGCCTTATCACAGGTTTAATAGTTTGGGTTTTTTTCCCCCTGTAACTCAATTAGATAATGAACTTCAGAAATAAATCGGAAACTATAGAAAACAGGAAATCTTAAATAATGTTACACTTACTATATAGCAATCACTTTTGTTGATAAAATCAGTGTGACAATGTGAAACAACCAATCTTTGAGAATATGTGTCTCCCTGCTCCCCAGAGACTCTTTGTCTAGAAGGTCACTGAACCATAGAGAGTTTGCTGTGACCTTATTTTTCTCAGGTTTTGTCCCTTTGAGCTCAAGATATAATAAGGGAATTCTCTGATGGCAATGTCCTGAACTTCACTTACTAGAAAAACAGCCAACCCTTGTAAAATAAAGCTCCTTTTTATGAGCTCTGCTTCAGTGGCCTCTACTAAACTAGAATTCAGCTTCTGCTTTAGGTCCCTTTTAATGGTGGGTGCGAAGAATACAACCTGCCTACAAGGAAAGTGTTGCTGTAACATAGGCAAACAAATCTAAATTTGCATCATTAAGTTAGTATTTGCCTTTGAAATATGCAGTCTTAGAAACATGCAAGGAATAAAGAATTTTCTAAGTCATAAGTACTTCCTGAGACAGGGTTATTTGGCAATTACAGGGAGCCAGGATCACGGTGTTTACAATAGCAGGCATTTCGTGATCCCTCACTATTTCTTGTGGAGGCACTTTTCTCCAAAGTCCCTGAAAACAGCCAGAGGGAAGAGTATGTTTAAGTTTCTTAGAATGAGATTTTTTTTCTTGTATCAACTTCCCAGATTTGTTTTACCTCCCTGATCATGGGTTCAAGTGGAAATCTTGAGCTGTTTTACAATAGCATTTGCCACGGTCATCTTTGTCTGACTGTAGCATCCTGGTTTAATTTATGTTAAAGCATTTCAACGTGGGAACAAATGTACAAGGAGAATTCTTTCCTGTTCTTCTTCTGAATATTACACAGTCCATCTCTGTAACACAGAAGAAAGGGGAAAATGTGTATCTCTATTGTAGAGTTTGTATTTTTGTGACAGTGATGAGGACCATGTACGTGAAGATCGTGCCACAGGCTCATATAATAAAAAGAACGTAATTCATCACAAAATGTCCTATTTAAAGTGGACAGTGAGGAACAATATAGAAGAATTTACATTTTGTTCATATTGTATTCAGCACTTAATATCATTTTCATGACTTTGCCTGCCACTAGATTCTCAGAATCTACTGTTTGGTAACAGTGGCAAAATTAAAATTCAGCCATACACATTGTCCTCTGGCATCTGCCTTTCTCTGCTTGCTTGTAAAATCTCTGACTTACTTAGATAAAGCTATCTTGGTGAGCTTATTGTTTTGGTTTTTTTTTTTTAGTTAAAGGATCATGCTTACTTTCTATAAATGTCAGTGAAAATAGTAATATTAATGGAAAAACAATTCCTGAAAGTATTTCCTATCAACAGTTAAAGTTCAAATGGTGAGATGCTTGGTTTACAGTTAACACACTGCAAAGTTAGTTGTTTAAGGGATATCAAAAATAAAGATAATGAGCATTTAATAATAGTTAGCCAATGTGGGAAACAGTATTTTCCTCAGGATACAGCAGTTCTCAGCTGGTTTTTGAGTGGAAAGAGACTGTTTGTACCTGGTAGGGGTAGCAAAGAATGAGCCAATAGACAGCTCTCTGTTCAATTTCTATTTTTTTATTTGGCTTGAATTTCCTAGACAGGGTTGTTGGCTGTTTTTTTTTTTAATGGGTGGTAATAATCTGTCTGGTCTGTGTTTTATAGCTCTCCTGATGCTGAGACACTGTACTGTACTTGTCATCCTTTATTTGTACTTATTATCTTTTCAGTGCCTCGTTCTTCTCAGTCATGCTTCGTTGAAGAAGTTTGGTTATTACAGAGTCATCTTGTTTTCCTTTTACTATGAAGGAGTAGCTGCTGCTGTTATGTTTTTTCTAGGGCAAGAACACTATTACCTGTTGGCATTTTATCTCACAACAAACATGTAAGTAAATACACTCCCCTCTTCATAGACACAGCTTAAATACTTGTAACACACTGGACACTTTCTTTTAGTACCATGAAGATTCTGCCATGGCTTTTATGGTTTTCATTCTGTTTGACTTGCCAGAAAAGTTGAAACTCTAGTTACGACTTTTCTCAGCTTTTATTTTATTCTGCTTCAGCTTTTAATTTCTGCTTAAAAAAAAAGTATATTATGATACAGGGAAAACCTTATTTAAAAATAAAGAGCTGTTTGTATCAGAATAATGTTACAGCTGTTTAATTCTTCGTTTTCTATTTCATTGTTGTCTTTCTGCACATTCTTTCCCACCCTCCTTTACTTCATCTTTTCTTTTCCCCCTTGTTTTCATTCTTATTTTCAGTCTCAAGCTACTGTAACACTGAATTGTGTGAACAATAAATTGAATTTCATTATCTGCATTTTTTAAATGATGAAGATGTGTTTTGATTTCCCCAGGAAAAAATTCTAAGGTACCTAAAGACTTTGTTTTTCAAGTGCTAATTGTCCAAAGCCTCTTGTTAGTAAAAGCTCATCACACCCAAACTTTAATAAGACATGGAAATTGTAATATTTGAGTTTATATTTTAATTTAGCAATTTGTTAAGAATCAGCTTTGTGTGTGTGTGTTTAAATGCATATATATGTGTGTGTGTATAGATATATCTATATATACACTGTAAATGCATATATAGGAATGCATGTAAAATATTCTTAGTATTCTAACTCTCCCACCTTGAAGTTTGTCTTCCATGTGGTCTTTCCAGCAATGCTCATGTCTTTTTGAGATTTGAAGAGCAAATTTTCAGTTTCCCCTTTTTCTAAGGTGTTTCTTTTCTCTTGGTCATTTTAAATGACATTTACTGATAATGTCATTTACCGTCAAAGTGTTCATGACCTTTTTCACCAATGTCCAGGAAAAAAAGCAAAAAAAAAAAAAAAACCACCTTTTTGGTTTGCATATTGATTTCTAATTTTCAGCCAAGAACAGATTTAGTAATGCTTTCACAACTCCTGCTTAAACAGATGCATCACCATGTTTTAAAGAACATCTCAGCTGTGTGTGTCTGGGGAAATGTCAGCATTGGGGGGGGTGTCAGAATGTCAGTTACAGTTTTATTATGGAAGTGAACATGAGGACTATGAACATCTTAAATACTTTGTTTTTCCTTAGGGTAATTGTACAAGCCTCCTTCAGTTTGTTCAATTTGCCTTTGGCAGATATTGTGGATGCAGATTTAGTAAAGCACAAGCGTAGGTATGTCCCTCGTTCCTGGTTTGCTTTACATGTGCTGTGTTTGCCTTGTTACTCTTCCATAGGTTAAACTGTGTCAAAGTAAAGACAGTAAATGATCTGGGAGCCTTGATCCAGAAGTACTTTTTGTAAGAGCAACTTAACATAAGTAAAAATAAGAACTTGAGTAAAGTTTCCTGCAGTTACTTCAGCAGAGTATTTTAAACAGATTATTATGTAACTTCTAGTTTTTATTATACTGTAATTTAAGACAAGTCCTTCTGATTCTTGTGGGTTGCCATTATCTCTCTGAAATAGAAGTGATAAAACCTGCTGTGGCATAGCATATTGCAACTCATGGATGTTTCAGACTTTTATCAGAGTGCACAGAATTTCCTGTTGGTTCCATCAATGTTTATGCAGGTGCACATTCAGCTCTGGTCACTCTGTTGAAGAACTGGCTCCTCAAAAGTGAGATCTATTGCTTCCATGAGGAAAAAAATTGCCTCCTTTTCTGGCCTCATGCATAGAAAACCTGAAGCTATAATTAATTCTCCATGCACTGTTCACTCTAATCTAACTCCAGTAATTACTCAAAGTGCACAAAGTTGAACCTGAGTGCAAGTCATTCCATAATCAGGGCCAAGTTATATATATACAAATATATATATAGACACACACACCCCAGAGGTTTTTTACCTTTCATTTCCAAATAAATTTAAATTTCACTCTGATAGCAGATCTGTTTGCTATAATGTGTGACCTAGACAAAGCTAAAGATCATGATATTTAGCCTTTGCATATTATCAGGATTTTTTGAATCACTATTGTACTTAATACTCTAGTAAGTTTTTGTCATGCATTAATTTGTTTTTTCCCCTAAATATTTTAGATCACCACTTTCCTCTATGGTTTTTGGTACCAATGCTTTATTTACCAAGCCTGCCCAATCTTTGGCTCCAATGCTTGTGGTTAAAGTACTAAATCAATTTGGATATAGGAACCTGAATAATGTTGATCATCCTGATGCAAGGTGAGTTCAAAAGGGATACTTTAAATCTTAGAAATTATCATTAAATACTCCTGTAATCTAAAAAGCAAATTGATCAGCAATTAGTTTGCTATCTACCTAATTTGGAAAAGCAAAGGATACATTTCAGTAGTTCACCATCCCCTGGTTTATGTTTGAGATGACCTAATAGGTCTTATTAAGATGCATGTTGTTGGCTTCTGCTTTTTGTTTATCTTATAAACCTACTTCCTTAAATATATAATCCTAATAGGGTTGCATTTAAGATACATTTTTGTTTGAGAGAAAGCAGTATAATAACTGGAGGGAGGGAATTTGCCTCTAGTAGGAATGTATAATTTTGGCTTCAATTCCACTTCAGTTCTAATGCTAATGATTTCACTGCAGTCCCTGGAGACCTTAATGCACCCCAGAAAGCTGTGGTTGCTAGTTAGCCTGTTGGACATGTGAGGGCTTTTATAAAACCAAATTAACAGGGAATCACTACACTGAAAGGGTCATAGGCTGTATTTATGATCATCAAGAGGAAGTGGAAACGTAAGGAATAACTGAAGGCAGGATTAAAAGGCAACAATCAGTCCTGATTAGGATTTACTTGAGAGAACAGCATGAATATCCTGAGAAACTACACAGCTTTCCTAAATTCTGATTAAACAACTTTAAAAATGCATACAGACAAATTTATAAGGACTTCTGTGGAAACAGCCCGTGAAGGAGAAAGGTCTGGTTATGTGTCACCAAAGGTTGGGAAAATGTTTCACATTTGAGGAATTTTCTAAAAAAAATGTAAGAGGACAAGCATTACATAAAAGAACAACAGGTGGTCTTCAGAAATGGATCCAGACAGAAGCAAAGGCAGTTTGAGGCTGTGTGAGAACAGTTAATTTTATTTTAATGCAGTCTGTAGATAGCCAGTGGGATGATGTAAAGAGGACATGAACCTCATTATAATGTCAAATAAGATGAGTGATTTTTGCAGAAGAGCAGTAGTTTGAACTGGATGTGGATATGAGAGGGCTGAATATATTCATCTCGATGATTCAGAGAAATTTTGACTTGAAACATAACAACTGCAGTTCTGATGCCTTTCAATCAGAGAAATGATCCCTTTGTGGATGGATTTTAAATCACAGTAGCTATAAATCTTTTTATCCCCAGTAAGTAGCCCCTGGACTATAGCAACAATAAATTTATTATATAGAGAGAGTTGAAATACTTTGAATGCTTAATCTCTAAAACCTGTATTTTCACTTGAGTCATGCTGAAATCTGATTTATTTCACTAAGGCCAGGAACAGCATAAAGGCACAAAGCTGAGATGAGTTAATCAGAGCACCTGAACTATATTATGTATTTCTCTTGTCCATCTCTTCAAAAATAATTTCTTAAATATGAAGCAGTCTGCCTGTGTTTTCTCTACATATATGTGTGAACAGGCATGTCCTTTGCTTGCAAATGGAGCTCAGCATGGACACAAATAGACCAGACTACTCCAAGTTGTTTCTAGGGAGTCAGTTTGCCCATGGCAATGCACTCAGACCATTGACTGAGCTAAAATTACTTATATATATTAAAAACCTATCAGCTGATCTCATCTTTCAGCCATAGGCAGGCAGCTAAAACACACTTGCCCCAGGATAAAGTTGTTTGAGGACAAACAGAAACTGAATTCAAGAGATTGTTTAAAATATGCTCAAGCTGTTTTGGGGAAAAAAAAAGAATTTCACACAGGTGAAGTATATATAATGAAGTATTATGACCCATGCTAATGCCATCTCAGCTGTGTCCTTCCTTCTTCTCCAAAGCTGGCAATATCTATTAAGTGTTTTGGAAAGCCTTTGCTTTATTAGGTGTAGTGGCAGTGAGTTGTGAACATAACACACATTCTGCATTAAAAAGATGTTTGGGCCCTGAATAAATATGTCTTGAGAGTTTCCAGCAATGTTGTTTCCTGGAAGAAGACAGAGGATGCAGTCCAAACCCATAAGATATTTGCTGCATTCTAAATGATCTATTTTTTCTTGAACTGAAAGTTAAACTGTAGCAACAATAATGGAGCAGCTAATCCTGGAAACCATTTCCAGGCACATTAAGGACAATAAAATCATCAGTAATAGCCAGCATGGCTTCACCAAGGGGAAGGGAGTCATGCTTGACCAACTTGATAAACCCGTGCAGTAAAATGCCCAGCCTGGTAGCCAAAGGAAGGCAGTGGGAATTGTCTGCCTGGGTTTCAGGGAGGCCTTTGGCACTGCCTCCCTCCTAGACAGGCTGTTGAAATATGGGCTGGATGAGCAGGCAGTGGGATGGGTTCAAAGCTGTCAGGCCCAGAGGGTGGTGCTCAGGGCCAGAAGTCTCCTTGGGGTCAGTAACTGAGCCCTACGGGTCTGTACCGGCCCCAGTCCCGTTTAACATCTTCATTAATGGCCAGGATGATGGGGCAGGATGTACCCTCGGGAATTTTGGTGATGACACAAAAGTGGGAGATGTGGCTGATACATCAGAGGGTCATGCTGCCATCCAGGGGGACCTGACAGGCTGGAGAAATGGGATGACCTGGGATCTTGGGCTGCTTTGGGTAGAGGATTGCCAGCAGGTCAAAGGAGGTGATCCTTCCCCTCTGCTCACATTTTACCACATCCTTAGGAAATGTGGTCACTGCACAGCAGTTAGACAATTTGTAGTGGAAGGTAGTTAAAGAAGTATTTTTTAATATACCTAAAATTTGAACAATAGCTTGCAGAATGGAGCAGTCCTGGTTTGTGGATTTTTCTTTTGTTCCATCATCATAGCAAAACATTACCTGCCCTGTATGGCTTGGGGGGTTTTTGTTGTGTTTGGGGTTTCTTTTTTTAGTTTGGCTTGGATTTTTTTTATTTTTTTTTTTTGCTGTGGAAAAGATCCCTAGTTTAAAACCTCCCTCTTCTGGAGAACCACTGCAACTACCACCAGCTTCTCTTGGCAGTGCTTTTCAAATTCATCCTTCAAAATGAAGTTATTTGGCAGCAACTCTTCATTATTTATTGAAGGCACTTTAAACTGTTAATGCTTTCATACTGAATTACTGGACTAGCTGACATTCTGTTCAGAGTGATGTTAGGGCTGTTTAGTGAAAGATTGTATATTTTATTCCTGTGTGTGCAAAAAAAAAGTAGATATGGAAATTTCTGAAGTTACTTGTTCAGCTGTAATTATGATGAAATTTGAGTTCTGCTCTTGATTTATCCCAGTCTCTCAATGAAATATTTTCCTGTTCTTTATTCTGTGTACTATAGATATGTTTCATACTTCCTGCAATAACTTTAGGTTTTACAGTACAATAGGTAATACTATTTTCTTAAATCAATATTGTTCCACTGAAACCACATCAGGATTGCACCAGTGTGAGTGATTTTGCAGATGTTCTTTCTTATTTTGTCCTTCCTGAAGTCCATGTATAAAAACAGAATAATTCCAGTACTGAAAACTGCAATCCTCTTCAGTGTGCAGGAACAGGCCAAAGGTGGGCCTTGTTTCCTTGTAGGTGGACTGGGAATGCAATTGAAAACAGGCCAGTAAACAACATCCAAGTGGTAAATTATTGTCACTGCCAATAAACTTGGCTGTGGACCAGTGGCCTGCTAGTGAACACTCCCAGTCCTAAATGCAATTGCCCAAGTGGTGAAGTGATTCACTTGTGAGCCTGTGGGTTTTGCTTTCTTGTGAAGCATCAGCAGGTACAGGACTTGAGATAAACTGTGCTCGTTTATGAGGGTGTGAATGTACTAAGGAATAAATCTGGGCTGTGGTGGAGGTTACAAGTATTTTCTCTGTTAAATGGAGGGATGAGACATGAGTCAATTCTTTTATGATTCAGAGAAACTCGTAGGTTTTATTTAAAAACCTGTTGGAGGTTTTGTTTGGGTTTTTTTCTCCACACATTTTCAGGTTTTTTGGCTGTCCATAGCTGTTCTGTGAGTCTCCTCTCTCATCCCTGAATGCTAAGGGAAAAAAAAAGAGAAAGTAACATAAACTGCCTCATGGAGAGAAAGTTCATTTAGGGGCTGTTTCTCAGCTTGAGTTGACTTTCCTGATATTTAAGTAATTAGAATCCAATAATTAACAGAATGCCAGTAGCTAATGATTCCAGCTACCAGATGAATGCCAAAATGCACACTTTGAGCTGTCAGCAACCATACTGTTCATAAAAGGGACATTTAATTCCTGCATTTCCTTTTTTGAGTCATATTTGTTGATGCTTTTATTTATTATTCGTTAGAGAAGATTTAGATGAGGAATTACCACGTATCCACTAGAATAAATGAAAATGAATGGTAATTTCACATGTATTTTTTTATGGTTTATATTATCTTGTAATCATTTATTTTAAACCCAAATGTAACAGGGCTTGATATTTCAAATAGCCCTTTAGACCACACCTGAATTTTGTGCATTAATCATCACTTCTGTCTAGCACTCAGCAACTAAAACAACACACTATGTGGACAGCAAAGATTTTGACCTAAATAATTTCATATTAAAATGCTTGCTTGAAATGTTTTCTGCTTTTCTTCCAGATTTTTCAGTCTTACTAAAGCTTTTCAGATGCTCTATTCTATAACTGGATGATATTGCTTAAATTGATTTCTATATTACATAATATAGATGAGTGCTAAAGTAGTAAACAGGATTTCTTAGGTTGCCTAGAGTGTATTAAAATTAACTCCTTGAGTGCTAATTGTCTGATTTTCTCACACCTATTATGAAAGGAGAAAACAAAATAAGATATATTCCACATAACTGTATGTGGAATTATAAAATACTATTGAAATACATTTGATACCTGATATATATATATATTTCTTTGATTTAGAATTGACTGTACAGTAACATGTCTATCTGTATAGAATGGGATTGCTTTAAAAATAACATGTTGTGAATTGACCAGGCAAGTTAATCTTCATACTGAAAGCTGTGTTTCCATGTTTTCCCCAGGACATTTTTAGATCTCCACGATGCCATGTTCAACCTGATCTGCCTGGTTCCACTTTGCATTGCAGTCATGCAGGTCCTGACATGGACTCCCTTTTCCATCCAGAACAGCCACGTGACAGCTGTGCACTAAATACCTCCCCCTTGGGCAGTGCCTCTTCTGCTCAGCTCAGCCATAAAAGAGTTGGTATGATTTTCATGTGAAAAAGCAAAATTGCAAGACAGTTTGAGCTCTTTATAAGTTGCATTCAGCCTTAATGCTGAGCCTACACAGAGTCTTTCCTAGTTTGGTCGTTTTCCTTTAATGGGTGTTATCCTTAATTACTTTATTTAAAGTAATTTCTGGCCTATACTGATCGCTGTAAACTCATTGAAGAATGGATATGGCAGATCAGGTAAAGGAGTCCCAACCCAGCACCTGGAATTCAAGGGAACTGTATTTTCTTAAGCTTACTGGTGGATTAATTTTGCCATCCTGATAAAACAGCAGATCTCTGAAGTTAATCTGGAAGATTCTGGTGGACATCCCTCATGGATGGCAGGGAGATGAAGGGAAAAATTTAGATGGTGTCTGGCTGGCCAATATAACACAGATCTGACAACTACCACAGGCAGAGGCAAGAGTAATTAACTTCCCTGAGAAAGTCTGTGTAGGGTTAAAGAAGAAAAAGATTAAAATGCTGTTCATTTTAATGCTGTTCATCCAGTGTTGCTGGATGTGGAAAAAGCTCCATAAGTCCTCACTGGCTTTCTGAATATCTCTTGGTGGTGGAAGGTAGATGCAGTTTTCTGGCTCTAAATGAGAAAATTATTTTGAAGGTACCATATTGTCAGTACTTCATACAGAATGTCATGTGGCAAGAACAACATCAGTATGTGGGTGTAATAATGTCCAGTTAGTTGGATAAATCTAAGCACAGAGTTATTGAAATAAACTCTACCTGTTTAGTAATGTTACAGTGGCAAACTCATCTGGTGTGTGACAACTGAAGTTATTTTCTGATTAATTCTTACCAAAATCTTTTTTAGTCAAGCTTTTAAATGGATCCTGTGATTTTTATAAAATAAAGAGTTTTGGACAAAATTTCAGAAACATCGAGTCCTGTCTTTATTCCCAGGTTGTAATGATAAGACATATTACCATGTTTACAATATTCCTGTTCAATAAATATTATTTTTCCTCAATATATTGAATGTGTAATTGGTAGTTTAAGCATACTATCATAGTTTCATTTTTTTTCGTTGTTTTGCCTGGGCAAATGTAATTTTAGAAGCACATTTCTTATGGAGTGCCAGTCACTTGAAAGTACAAGAAGATGCATTGTGGATCCCAATTTTAAAGTGTATCCCAGTTTTAAATTGTGTATCCCAAATTTAAAGTGCTGAGCCAGCTTATTTCCAAGGCTCTACATTGGAGAAGAAAGGAGTGTAAGACGAGGCCCTGCATTTTGGTGGACAACTTAATGAAAAAGTTTGAGATTTGAAATACTAGAGTTGAAAAAAATAGTCTTTTTGCCTCAGTTTTTACATTTGCAGAGTAGAAATAACAACATTTCCTTGCCTTTTTTTGAAGTGCAAAGTGCTTTCAAGGCGCTGAGTGAAAAAGTGGGATAGCATCGTTAAATATTTAGAAATCCAAATGAACCCTTTGATAGGAATATGAAGATTTATGTTAAAATGTAACAAGCCAGAAGTGTGGTGAAGTTTTAAGTTGCATTATCTGGTTTTTATCTGTCTTGTCAGAGATCCCGTTATTCATTTGCATGGTACGTGCTAATGGAATTATGTACACATTCCAGCATCACTTGTGTAAATATTCCTTGGATATGTAAATACAAATACCAGAGCAGATACGGCCTGTGTGTTTAGATTCTGAATTTTAAAAGATTTCCTGCATTGTGTGTACTAATTTTGTGTCTGAAAGGCAGGATCAAAAGCCAAAGGACAAAAAGCTGAAGAAATTTAAGTTAATATAATCTTTGATTCATTATATGAAAGTCTTCTCCCTGACAGTTCCTTTAAAATGGTAATAAGTAACCAAAAATAGTCTTCTCTACTGTTTCTGTAGTTCCTAAATTTGCTATGTTCATCCTATCCTTGTAGAATATATGTTTTGATGGGTGAAAATATTATTGTACCACAAATAGAGTTTCTTAAGTGACTCTGTAACTTATTTCTAATACTAAGTTATTAGAATATAGTGTGCCACTGGAAGAGTACTGTGCTATGCAACAGGAAATCTAATAAGTGGGTTTAAGAGTCATAATTACATCAAGGATTCTTTGAAATTATCAGAATTATTTTTTTCTGGAAAATGTTTGGTAACAGTACCATTCAATTTGCTGAAATAAGAGTAAGGAGTGACCTGACTGAAGGCACAGTTTGAATAGTCTCTACAAACCACTGCATCTTTAGAATTAAGATAGGAAAAGTAAATAGTCAAAGATGTCTAAGCAAGACAGCCTGAAAATAGGGGACATTAATTGTAGAATAAACCAGTTTAGAAAGCAAATTTGAGAAATACAATACAAATTACTTAATATGTAAAATATTAATAATTTTCCAAATTTATTATGTATTCTGCCATTTGTCTGTCCTATTTCTCTTGCAATAAGGGCAGGAAAAAAGGTGTATTTCATTGCATCCATAGTCAATCCAAAAGAGGACTTAAAAGTGCTTTAAATTGGGGTAGTATCTTACTACAGGAGTAGAAGGTTGGCTCTGTGCTGTGACTGACATGGCTTATTCTCCATTTCTCTGTCACCCACTAAACTTTGCTATCCTCTGCTAAACCTACATCTTTGGTTTTGGCTGTGAATCAAATAGAGGATGATCAAAGGCAAAAGTTCAGTGTCTTGCAACAGCTGGTTTCTCTGCTTTCTCTCCTTATTAGCAAATGATATCTGAGTTTGAACTCCCACTGCTGGACAAATGCCTCAGTTTAATCTTGATAATTTAAGAGTGTCTAAAATAGTCTCATAACTGATAAAGAGGATATAAGTGTGTGTATAATATAAAATATGAAATGCTGTGGTAAGTTCAGAGGATGAGAAATGTGATGCTTGAATCCCATTCTTAGAGTTTCTCTATAAATTCTGAGAATGTGGATCTTAATACACTGAATGAATTTTATTTATTGAAAATCAATAGGTAAAAGTGCTTGCTAGATTTAAAAGGCTGTTACCTAACAGACACTCAAGAATGTTAGTCTAATATAGCAGTAATACAATATATAGCCAGTGATAGAGTGAAAATATTGAACAAATGACAACAAAGCGTATTTAACTTTAAGTGGGAAAAAATTATGTTTAGTGGAGCTTACAGGCCCACCTCTGTTCTGGTCTTGTACAAAATTACCTTCCCAGTCTCAAATCTGCTGCTCTGATTTTGGAACTGCTTGGTAATTCATGAATATACTATGTTGACATGGCCAGTAGGATGTTTACATTTGAATATGGTTCTACATCTTAATGGGTGCTGTCAGGAAAGACAAGCAGGAAGGGGAAGGAACAGTTAAGATAAGCCACATCTCCACAATTCTTGCCCAATGAAGCCAGCTCAGGGAAAAAGCTCAGTAGTACATGCAGGCAAAAGAATCCCAGCTGGTTTTGTAAAGGAACACACAATGAGACTGGTGGGAGCTCTTAAAGAGCTTGGACAGACTCTCAACTCCTTAACTCGACTTCCTGGGTTACCCTTGGGGGAGAGGATTTTAGATCCCTAACAGCGTTTACCTTAAAGACCTCTTTGTGGTAACCACTTTCTTACTAATGTTTAAATAAGAGAAGGGAAAGTTGTTTTATCAGAGTATTTTATCAGGAAAATTGAAGGTTTACATTTTAGACTCCGTTGAGGCTGTGCAGCCAGCCCTGTCACCAACCCTGCTCCAGAAGCCAGGCTCCTTGGGATCACCACAAAGAAATTCCTCCTCTGTTAAAGCCTTTGGGTATGTTTGGGATCATTTGGACTTCAGGTATTCAATCAATTATAGATATTTTCCATCAAGAGAAAGAAAAAAAGCACTAGCCAAATAGTTGGGGAGAAAATAGAAAAACAGTGATTCGATTTTTTCTGGAAATCCCCTCTCAGCACACTAATTGCTTTGAATGATAAAGCAATACACTTACACAACAAATAGTTTTCTGAGCTTGTCCAGCAATTGGTTACAACTCCACCAGCCTATATGCAAAAAACAATACATCAAAATTATTACCTAAATATGCATGAATAGTGAGTTCTTTATAGCCTGTCAAGAGAAAAATATGCTGAGTATACAACTACTGCGTCAGAATATTAATGTAACGCTGGGTAGGAACTTTGGGAAATCTCATTAAAACACACCCAGGTTGTAGGCTAAAAAGCAAGTGTATTCCTTATCTGGTATGCAATCAATTATCTGTATTTTCGATGTGATGAAATTAAGGTATGTTTCCCTGTGAGCAACATGTAACTAATCTGAAGCAGTTTTATTTTTTGCTTTATACATTGCAAGAAGATGTCTCTTTAAAAAGCAGCTGGGGAAGTGTCTGGAGCACAAGTCTAGTGAGGAGTGGCTGAGGGAGCTGGGGATGTTTAGCCTGGAGAAAAGGAGGCTCAGGGGGGACCTTGTTGGTCTCTACAACCACCAGGACCAGAGGACATAGTCTTAAGCTGTGCTAGGGGAGGTTTAGGTCGGACAGTAGGAAGAAAGGGTGATTAGACATTGGAAGGGGCTGCCCAGGGAGGTGGTGGAGTCACTGTCCCTGGAGGTGTTTAAGGAAAGAGTGGACGTGGCACTCAGTGCCATGGTCTGGTTGACACGGTGGTGTTCGGACACAGGTTGGACTCGATGGTCCCGGAGCTCTCTTCCGACCGAATGGGTTCGGTGTTCCCGTGACTCCCTCGGCCCCGGCTCGTGGGGTCCCTGTCCCTCAGCCCCGCTCCCGCCGGGCCGCTCTGCGCAGGCGCACCGGGGTGACAGGGCGGCACCGGGGCACGTGGGCGAACCTCCGCCAAGGGGGCCGCGCCAGCCCGCGGTGCTCGGGCGGGAGGAGGGAGGTGGTCCCGGCCGAGCATCCGCCGTGCGCCTAGGGCAGCGCGCCGCCGCGCCCTGCCGCTCGGTCGAAGGCGGCCGACCGCCGCCGGCCATTGGGCAGGGAAGGGAGAGAGAAGAGGGAGGGAGCGGGTTGGCGCGAGGCCCGGCGTGGTCGCAGCGAAGGCGTTCAGGGCGGGCCCGCTTGCCGCGGCGGCGGTTCGCGCGGAGCGTGTGCAGGCAGGGCCCGAGCGGAGCGCCGCTGCATGGAGGGCCGGGGGGCGGCGGCGCCGCGCGGGTGGATGAGCGCGCCCGTTCCCCATGAGGAACGGTGGCTGTGCTGGCTGGGCTGCTAACATCCTGCTCCTGTGGTGCGCAGGAAGGAAGATGTGGGCTGGCCTGCGCATACCTGCGGAGCCCTTTATCAGGCTCTTATCGTGAATATGATGGGCAGCCACGCCAGCGCGCGCCGGGCGTCAGGGAGAACCACCAGGTAAGCCCGGGGCGGCGGGCCGCACATGGCAGCCTGCTCCTAGCGCGGCGGGGGGGGCGGCACAGGACCCCCGCCCCGGGAGCGCGGCGGGGAGGGCGGGGTGCGGCGGAGGGAGCGGCGGGGGAGCGGGGACCCCGGTGCGGGCTGAGGGGGCTCCGGGCGGGCAGCGAGACATTAAGAGAGGGAACTGCTCGCGCTCCGGTGAGAAAGTTTTGCCGTGTGCCGCCCGTGTGGGACGGGCGCCCCGGGGCGCCGGGGGGCGTGACCGGCGCTGAGGGGCCGCTGGGGGGTCGGGGAGAGCCCGGCGGGGGAGCCGCGGTGGGGCGGGGCAGAGCTGCTCCCGGGGGACTGCGGCCCCAGTGAGTGGGTGTACCCCCGGTGAGTGGATGTACATCCCAGTGTGTGGGTGTACCCCTCGGTTTGTGAATGTACATCCCAGTGTGTGGGTGTACCCCTCGGTTTGTGAATGTACATCCCAGTACGCGGGTGTACCCCCGGTGAGTGGATGTACATCCCAGTGTGTGGGTGTACCCCCCGGTCTGTGTTACATACATCGCAATGTGTGGATGTACATCCCAGTGTGTGGATGTACCCCCCGGTCTGTCCCACTGAGCCCCGTCAGAGGCTTCCGCGAAGTCTGCAGGTGGTGGTGTTGAGGGGGGTGGGTTTCTAATCACAGGGATGTTTGTCATCAGTACCGGTGCCTCTGGAGGAAAACAAAGTAGGGAACTGCAAAGCTCTCAGAGGCCTTGGAGCAGTAGGAGGTGGCAAACTGGGAATGAGTTATTGCAATGTGATCCGGCTGCAATAAAAGGTTAGGTGCTATATTTGGGCAGTGTAGGCACATGGGTCAGTACCTTGTGGAGAAGTCAGGGGCTATACCCTAGCAATTAAATGGTTATGTGATAGATTTCATTTGGAATATATTCAAACCTGTTCTACATTTTGGCAAAATGCAACTGAAAATCTGAGAGGAGTTAGAGGGGCTAATAAAAACTTATTGGGGAAGGGAGATGGCAGCTTAATGTAGGTAATATATGCAGAACTGAGCTAACGAAGAAGACACAGCATGAACACTTGAGGACTGCTGTACAAAGGGTTTATTATGGTTATGCACCATAATTCTTCAAGCTGATCCATTACTACAGGTTCTTAATGCTCAGGGTGGGCATTGACATCCAGAATCTTACTGCTGAGGGAATGTATCACTGGGGTTTAATACATGTGTGGTTCATTCAGTGCATAAATACAAAGAGAAGTAGAATTTAGGTTTATGGAAAAAAACCTTCCTTCTGGCGAACAAAGAAAATCTGAGTCTTTTGTGTTGTTAAAAATTACTAGGAAGACAAGTCATCTAGGGAAATGTGTTATGGAGGTGATCATGTCATTCACAGGTAGATGGTCTGCAGTGGATAATCTCCATTTCTGATTTATTTGATCTAGATTTAAAATTTAGAGTATTGATTTTTTAGTACATTTAGTAAGATTTACGATTAGCGAGTTTGTGGGGTTACTCATAAGTAAGGATTGCAGCTTGAGACCCCTGGAACTTTGCAGTTTTACTGACTTAATTAGTTTTATGCAGATTATCTAAAAGAACTTGTTTGTCCTTTTACTAATATTAGGCAAGAGTTGTAAGAATTATAACTTTTATTATAACAAAAGTCTTAATACAACAGTCTGAAAAGATATGAGAGATTGATACACTTTGTGTCATGAAACTAGTGGCCTTTCATATACTGTACATGAATGAAAACAAAAGCAGTTTCTGTTCTGAGGAGATAGTTCCAGAGTTAAGTTGTTTTTCACCAGTTTTTTCATTTGAAATTTGTGTTGGTTTTACCTTTTTTTTTTTTTTACTTACAGTTTGCTGTAATTTCTGTTACTTGTTAGGGTTGTATAGGTATTTGTCAATAACCTTATTGGCAAGATTAACCATGGAGAATTGTAGAATCATTGAATTCTTAAGGTTGGAAAAGAACTCCAAGATCATCAAGTTCAACCTTTGATCGAGTACCACCATGGCCACTAAACCATATCAAAATTAGAGGAGATCTGTGAATAAAGCCTAATTTCTGGAAACAAGGTTATGTTAGGTGTCACCATCATCCTTCTGCCAGTGGTTATGTCAATATTTAGAGTTTTAAAGACCAGAATTGCAGGACTGTTGTTTTTCAGTGGAACTACAGGTGTCAGCTCAGTGCAGAAGTCCAGGCTGTATGAGCTCGGGTGCAGCATGTGTGTAGTCCTATTTCTTATGGAACAGAGCCTGTGTTTCCCAAAGCTTTGATAGCTGAGTGTGTTTTCTTCTGGATTGAAAATGGCAACACGTTGCAAAAGGCAAATCGTCTTAAGCCACACCAAACCTGTTCAGTGTAGTGAGGCAGCGGCCTCATGAGTGCACCTGATGCACATCCCAGCCTGCTCTGCAGCTCCTTGGGATTGCTTGCTCCTGCCAGGCTCTTGAAATTTGCTTCTGAAGATGAATGGACAGAGTACCCAGGCTGCTGCTTTAGTGGTTTTTCATGACCCACTAAGGATTCCTTTTGGGAATCACTGGACTGTGCTGATTCATTTATCTAGTGCTGCACTGCAGTGAGAAAACACCTAAAGTGGTAAATCAGCACTCTGGGGGATCCCTGTGCCAGGTTCCATCATGTGGTACAGACTTGCTCAAAATCTGTGTTTTAGAGGAAAGGAGCACTCACTTGTGCTCTCTACAAGTGTGTTTGAAAGCACAGTCAAGAGGCTCATTCTGCCAGAAGTGCACCCATTATCCAGGTGGTTTTCAAAGTAAACCTGAGCAGGCACATGTTTGCTCCTCAGCTGAAGGGTCTGAACATCCCTTGCTACTTTGGGCCAGTGTTTGATGGAGCCCCTGTTCATGGATCTGGCACAATGACCTTGGTGCAGCTCCCTGCTCCCCTCTGCTTGCTGGCACTGCTGCTGTGAAGCAGCAGACACTGGAATAAGAATCCTGCCCCATTATTATTTGCATTATAGTAATGACTGGAAGTCCCACTGTGCTGAATGCTGTGTAAACCTGCATTAAGTGAACGTTCCTCTCCCAACAAGGCAAACAAATGTGAAGGGATCAGGATATGAGCACACGTCTTCACAGTGCCTTAGGTGTTAAATCTAAGTTTTAAATTTAACTGGAGTTCCCCCAGCTGATTGTTTCTGCCCTTCCATGTGTATTTTTTCCAAGGTTCTGTTCAAACTCTCCATTTCTCTTTCGGATACTCACAACTCCCTGTCTGCACAATGAACTCTTACAGCCACATTAAGGAACATTATTGCAAGATCCAAGGGGGAGATAAGATGGTGTTGGCTGTAGGGAATAATTCTTGATTATAAGAAAAGAGACACAATGGCATTCTACAAGAAGGACTGACAATAACTCCACAGAAGTGTAGGAGAGTGAGAAATAATAGTGACCTTCCTAATTAAAATTGCATTTGAAACTTTAATAACTTTTGAATGTCAAGTTGAGGGGGCTTTAAGCTTGGCATTGCAACCTAGCAATGAGCAGCCTTTTGAATTTTATTATCAGTGCTGACATTCCAGAATGTTGCAGCATTGGAGGGGTTTGCTGGAGGTGCAAAAGGTGACCATGAGGGTCCCAAAATGTCAGAATTTCTGCAGGTTTGCCTTGTTTTGCAAGGTTTTAAAGAAGGAGTTTCATAGATAAAATTGTTTGAAAGACTTGTGGATTTGCTTGGTAAGTGAAAAACATAGTTCAGCTGTAAGACATACAAGCTGTGGTCTAATGTATATATTGGATTCTTCTTTCCTTGAAAAATATTTGAAGTGCACTTGCTGATCTCTCTTCAGAGGATGCCTAGGGAAAAGTCCTGCTTCATACTATTTTATCAGAGTGATGCTGTTCCCTAGAGGAGCTGTGTTTGCTTTCTAGGGAATTTATTTTATAGATTTCTTCAAAGTACAGGGTAACGATTAGGACAAAAATTAAAAGCAGTATTTTTTAGCAAGTAATTGGTCCTCCCTTCATTAGAATTCTAAATTAATTTAATCCTGAAGTTTGTTGAGAAATCTGTAGCAAAAACTAATTTTTTATATTTAGGAAAATTGATACTAGATTTCCATGTATTAATTTTAACTACTTCTGGTTTTATCTTGCCGAACCTTTTAATGGTCCTTTATCTCTTTCTCCAGTGGTATGTCTGCAACACAGAACAGTTGTCTGAATCCCTTCAGCCCATTTTTGTCCAGAGTTACCTTGACCAAGGAACACAGATCTTCTTAAACAACAGCATTGAGAAGTCAGGCTGGCTGTTTATCCAGCTCTACCACTCCATTGTGTCCTCCAGTTTTAGCCTTTTTATGTCTAGAACATCTATCAATGGGTAAGTGAAAAGTTAATCTGGGGTAAACTACATACAGTTTGGATTTAGAGTTTTCAAATGTTCAGCCCTACCCCTTGATCTGTCAGCTTTTCAACATGTATACCTTTCCCTTTGTGGTCTCTCAGATGTGAAATGCCCTCTGTGCTCTTCATGCCCGGCCCTCTTAGCTGATGAACACCATTTCCGGGGGGGCACAGGGGAGGTAATTCCAATTAATAAAAGACAGAGGACTCTAATTGTATTTTATAACAATTACTTGTATTAATTTCCCTCTGCTTTCTTCCCTTCCCACCTTGCCCTTTCCCTACTGCCGTGTTTGTATCAGTTGCTGTTGGGATTGTCCTTGGTGGTGGGTGTATCCAGTCAGTTCTGGATTGCACCTGAAACTTTTTCCTGGAGAGTGTGTGCATGCCCACTGCAAATCATGGCAGATTTCTGAACAGTGCAAAGTTGGCCAAGTGTTGAGTCTGGTGGCATTAATGTGGAATTCTGTCCTTTCTCTTGTTCTGTAAAACCATTCCACCTCAGTTTGTGTGAAAGCTGGACTTGAACAGATAACTTCTGATGCAGCACGTTTGACTGATGAAACATCAGGAAAGCAGGAAAACATAAGTTGATAAAACAATATTTTCTTATTCTTATTGTATCAGTCTCTCTTGTGGCTGAAGGGGAGTTTGGCTGTTCATGGGTGATTTAGGATTTTTTCCAAAGAAGTCAGTGCCTTTTTTTGCTCATGTCACCCCACTCAGACACATTTCACAGCTTATCTGTTATGAAGAATGCATTTTGTTACATTTAGGCAATTTCTCCACCATCCTCACCTCTGCACCTACTACATACTTCTGCACAGTCTGATATGATAGGAGCTGTCTGCTAAGGCTAGAAAAATAGACTTTTTTCTTATTTTCTACCCAGATGACTTTATGAGCTTCCCTGTGGTGTTCTTAGTTATGTGTAGCTTTATATAAAGGTTCCTTTGGTCTCTTCTTTTCTCTTCCATTTTTTTTTTTCAAAGGCTCTTCAGGGCTTTGAATAACACCTCATAATGCTGTTAAGAATAATAGCTATGAGCCAATTATACAGTGTGGACTGACACAAGTGTGCTGCAAGGGGGCTCTACTTAAATTGGATGTGGTCTGTTTATTTTTATACATCTGATATCCTACTTTAGTTTCTTCTGTATGACTTTGCCTACTCTAACCTTTTTGTTGTTATTTTCTTTGCTTTTTAGTAGAGTCAGTCTTTCCTAGGCCACCTCCTTTTCACAATTTTAATTCTTTGATTCTTTATATCTTTGTTTACCTTTTTTTTGTTTGCTTTTTTTCTCTGTTCATTGTCTTTAAGTTTAACCTGCTACCCAACAGTAGTTTAAAGAATGGTATTTATCTACCTGCAGTCTATTACTGACCAATTCTTTTTCCTCTCCTTGTTCTTGTAACTGTTTCATCATCTGAATTCTGCTCTGACAGCTGAAAGGTGTCACTGTGGAGTCTTCAAACAGTTGTGGGCGGGGATGTCATTGACTTGATCCATAAGGAATCCAACTGTCACCTCTACCCAATTCCTTAATGAGTTGCCTATTTTCTATTCCATGGCTTTTCATGTTGATCTGCAGCTAGCAGCAAAAGCATTGTAGAATAGAATTAAAAAAACCTCTTTTGCCCCTCCAGCAGTGTTGCCCCCATCCTTTTTTTAAGTTTGTTCCCTGGCTTCCCTCCTAGTTCCACATCCTATTCCTTATTCATGGTGCATACTTCTGTGTCTGCAGCCATTTTATTTTCTCTGTTACTTCTCTTTTTTTTTAAGGTTGGTGGCAGAGATTCAAAACTGCAAATGTATCAAATAAGGTTCAGCCTTTATCTCTTCTTCTCTTTCTCCCCCCCTCCTCTTTTTTTTTAATGTGATCATTTCCTTGAGCTGCACCCCATGAGCTCTTCCTTACTTAATCAAATTCCTCCTGAAGTCTTAACCACTGTAACTGCATGTGGCTGAGTGTTTGATCTCTGACAAGTGCAAGGCAAGTTGAACTGGATTTAAAATTTATCTGAGCAGTGACCTTGTCTACTATTATGTTTGACTGTTTCCTGCCAAAGCACATTGTAAATTCCTTCATTGTCTGTCCTGTTAAAGTTTGTACAGAATCGGTCATTTCTCGTTTTTTACATTTCAGGCTGCTGGGAAGGGGCTCAATGTTTGTGTTCTCCCCAGAACAATTTCAAAGACTGCTTAAAATAAATCCCGACTGGAAATCCCACAGACTTCTTGATTTAGGGGCTGGGGATGGAGAAGTCACTAAAGTCATGAGTCCTCACTTTGAAGAAATCTATGCCACTGAACTGTCTGAAACGATGATATGGCAGCTTCAGAAGAAGAAATACAGGTATGGCACCAAATACTTCCTACATCCTTTATATCAGACATTACAGCAAAGTAATCTATTTGTAATATTTAATGAATGTTCAGTATTTTCACTCAGTTCTTTCATTGATTGCTATGGAAAAGGTTAATCTGTACAAAAGCAGGAAAACAAACACATCTGATGCTCCCTCTTACCAGTGGTGTTTTTGGTGTCCTTTATTGCCTGATGATTGTAAGGCAGTATAAAGGTTCACAGGGCTGGATATATAGCCATGCTGATCATTGATTTAGTTTTCTTTTCCAAAAGGCCAGAAGGGATCATGTCTGTCTCTTCTCATTGCCTCAGTGGCTGACCTTACCTGCACTGCCAGCACATCCATAGGGAATTTTGTCTTCAGTGGTTCTCTCTGAACTCAGCTGGTTTTGTTTAACAGACTATATCTCTTTCTCTTTCCTTTTTTTAGGGTGCTTGGTGTAAATGAATGGCAAAACACAGGATTTCAGTATGATGTTATCAGCTGTTTGAATTTGCTGGATCGCTGTGATCAACCACTGACTCTATTAAAGGATATTAGAAGTGTAGTGGAGCCAACCAAAGGCAGGGTCATTCTAGCACTGGTTCTGCCATTTCACCCCTATGTGGAAAATGGTAAGTACACAGATTAACAGTTACTTAGGCAACTAAAGAAAACTTCTGTAGGATATAGTATTTCAAATTAAATGTTTAATAAATAACATGCTCCTATTTTATTTTTTTTGTTTTACAAATAACTTGTACGGGGCATATTCAGAAGTATGAAATCATAGGTAAATAGGCCACATGATGTAAGCTGCTTACTTAATTCACCAGCATAATTGTTGGCACCAACAAAAAGCTTAAATAGTGAAGTCACAGATCCTGTTCTGCAAGTTGCCACATTTCAGCTCTGTTGGAGTAATATGGGAAAACTGGTCTCTGATTAGGGCCTTTTAGCTAGAGGTAATCCCAGTTGTCTCTAGTGACCCACTGAGCAAACCCATCAGAACTGTCTAATGCTGAATAAAGCAGTTAGGACAAACTGTTTCAAGTGTTCCAGGTGAATCCCACCTAAAAATTCATTGGGAGAGAACGATCACTTTCCAACATGAACTCTCAAAGTAAAATATAGGCCCCTCCTAATACAAAGTATTGACCACTGTTAGTATTGTATTCATTGTGCTAGTAACAGGCATTAAAAAGTAAAATTCAGTGCCAGGACTCCATTATTTCCCCTAGTTACATTTTAAAGAAATACATGAGAGAGTTTCAAATGAACCTCTCCTTGTGACTAACCTTCAAAAGAGACCCGAAAATCTTCTTTGCATGCCTGTGATTGTGGATTTTGGTGGAGGCACCCTAAAGGTGGTTTGAATTCCAGAAGGCTGGTGTTCATCAGTCATTGTTTGGACGCTGGTTCTTCTTGAGTATTAAGACTTGTCTGTGGGAAGGCATGGATGCCCAGAAAATACAGAACTAATAATGTTCTGGCAATCACAAATGCATCAAACTGAATCTACTGTTCTCTTTTTATATGTCAGGGGTATTTTGGTGGGAGAAGGGAGAAAAAACTTTTAAGTATAAAAAACAATGCCATCAGATTAAGAAATACTATATGAAGAATACTATAAGTATTTAAGCTAATAATTTTGGAACTATTCTGAAAAGTAGTGTGTCTTAAATTGGATCGAGGGGTTCACTTATGCACCTGTACAGTATTTCAAGCATATTTGGTTACAACCTGTTGTTCCTGTCACGTGGAACAATATAACTTCCTTTTGTAGTAATTCTTTAAAATTCTAAATACCAGCAGTGTCCTTCTAGTGTTTCACGGGCATTTTAGAAGCAGAAACTGAGAAATACTTTGGGTGGCTGTTTTGTTTGTGTGCCTTCAAAGCTTCAAAACACAATAGGGTTTTGCAATCACTACTGCACCCTGCACCTACTTCTCTGCATGTTGTTGGGTAACCCTGTGGCAGATCATGTACAACTCCCTGGCTCAACAGGGAGTGCTAAGGAAGAAACTATTCCAAGTCCCCTTGTATCCTACACTGGGAGGAGAATAGTGGTAAAATTTATAAATCCCAAGGGACTGGAAACCTGTTCTGTGATTGTTGAGCTTAGTCATTCCTACTTGTTGAAAGCTGAAATACTCTTGTAAGATGTTTTGTAAACCAAAGTCATCATTTTATTCGTGGTGGTGACTTGTAGCAGATTAGTCACTTTGCTTAAGGCAGTTTTATTCCTTTAATATGTTCTGAAGCTTAAAAACATACTCAGTTTGTCTATTTGCCACTATTGTGGATATGGGCCCATATACACAATGCAGTTTAGCACAGACAAAAGTTACTGTCATTCCACAGATGCTTTCCCACTTAAGATCTGTTTAACTGTAGTCTAAAAAAACAAGACACTGAACTGCCAAACTGTCTTCATGATGTACAAACAATTGTAGAATTTCAATATTTTCACTGAGCTGTTTTACTAGATGCATTTTAAAAAAATACAGGTATGTACATATGCTTTATATTTAATAATATTATACTTGGAACATTCAAAGAGGAGAGAATTTCATGGCTCAAGCAACTTCTTGTAGCAGCTAATTAAAAACAGCTTGGACCCTCATAGAGAACCATGAATTTTGTAGAGGGAGAACAAATTGAGAGGAGTTGGGGCAGGTAAGGTGCTTGGTCAGTGTATAAATCCATTTCTAGAAATGCAGAATTATTTTAATCAAAACGAGATATTTGGGTTATTACATGTAGTGTAATGGGATGGTAATGGTGGAAACTGTCTGTGTGAATCACATAAAACTTGCTTTAATAGAACAAAGCAAGGTGGAGGAGGAAGTAAAATACAGATCTGTGCTTACTGTTTCTGGAATTACAGTGACACCTAGAGTCCAGAGCAGCTTCATTGTAAATTCTCCCTGTGCCTTCTCAGCCTTATTTTCAACATGCAGAACACCAGTAATGCAATTATTGCACATGTCTAAATTTGTCAGGAAAGCCTGGTGAATCAGAAGGTTTTAGACTAGTCACATAAGAACAAGTATTACAGCTTTACACTTTTGACAGGTATCTCAGAGGGTCGTATAAGAATCCTTTGTATTTCCTAATATAGACATAATATTTACATAAAAAGTCATTACTACATAATATATGACTAGACTGGTTGAAGTTTCTCTAAAATAAAATGTCAGAGATCCCACACTTCAGAAGTAGTGAACACTACCAGCCTGGAAGTGTGAAATTTTCTTGTTGAACACATCAATGTCCTTGTGATTGATTGACAGGAATGAGAAGGCAAAGGCATGTTTTCCATCTTCCTGAAATATTTGCTATTAAATGGAGCTGGAAACACACAGTACTGTGGGAGATGGACCCTTGCTTTGTCTCAGTTGTCAGTTCTCATCTCGCTGAAGTGAGAAATGCCACTTCATTCGTTAAACAAAGCCTTGCTTTATTTAAATTATGATAAAAGATGCAGCTGTTCCTTATCAGGGAGAATGCCTGATCATATCAGATATCCTGTAGAAGTGCTGATTTTGTAGATTGGCTGGGTAGTAACTGCTAAAGAAGAAAAGGTACTATAAAAAAAGGAAAAAGTATCCTGCCTTTGACTGAGTAGCACAGTTCTGTTTTGTGCTTGTGTCCATATTGAACAGGCACAGAAAGGCAAAACTTGGTGCTCCAGGTAATCCTGACTTTGGATGGTGGGACTGGAAGAGGGAGATTTTTTGTCTAGCAAGTGAATTTTAGTATTGGAGAAGTAACCTTTTCACAATGACCACTACTTTCCTTTCCTGGATAGCCTAGGAAGAAACTCCCATCCCAAATGAGCTTTACCATGATAGTACATGTGTTTATATAGTCATTTTTTTCTGCTTGCCTGTCTAACACAGGGTTTGCTCTGTTTAAGCTCTTGTTAAGGCTCTGCAGCTGTTGGTCTGTATATTTTACATCAATAACTATCACATTAACAGGACTAAACCCAGAGTTTCACCTATGAAACGAGTTTATTTTCTGTTGCTGTCAATTATCATACATCTTTCACAAGTGCTCGATTCATGTAAAAGGAATACATATAAGTTTATGTAAAAAGAAAACAAAGACACAGAATTAAATCTAAACTGAAAAAGGAGACTTTTCTGAAGCATCAGCAGTTGTCTTATGAGAGATGAACTCTTTTTTCCCCACGGTTTTCACTCCTGCAGAATGGACAATGGAATATGTAACACAGGTGTAATGCACAATGCCCTTGGGTTTGGTGATCTGTTTAGAAGATTCTCTCAAGAAAACCTTGCAGGGCAGTGTTCTTCACCTTCCTTTACAGCAAAGGAGGTCTGTGAAGAAGCTTCACTTCTTCACCTGCCCCTTTGCTTGCACGACAAACACCGAACAAATCTGAACTGCTGCACGTGCTCATCTGTTCTGGTAAACAGTGTCAGCTTCCAAGTCATCCTGAAGGAAAAATGCAGAAGTATTTCCTTACTGATGTGGATTTTTTTAATATAAAGGCAGAATTTCTTTTTTGAGGCAAACTCTATCTTGGCAAAATACAAATTTATGGCAGTTTCATTTTTAAATGTCTATGCATATATTTTATAAAGTATATATTATCATATATATGTATATATAAAAGTATATGTATGGTCATTTAGAATGCTTTATAGTGTCTTTGACTGTTTTACAGAATTCTTTTTTTGACCTTTATCAACTTGAAAAAAGAAAAGTCTATTTCCAGAGGACATAGAAATGGTATACTCTTAAAAAATCTTGGTTCCCTATAAATTTTGTTATTGGTGGGTAGCTACTTACAGGCTGTTGGCAGTGCTCAGCAAACCCCTGCTTTTGAAGTTCTTGGGCTATTGCTTGAAAAACTTTTCGTCCACTATTTATTTTCTGCAAATTATTAAAAGTATTTTATATTATTGCAACATTTTAAGTTGTGGGAAACATCTTTTTCTAGCTTTGATAGTCCTGCCTTTTTACCTGACTATATCTTTTGGAACATTACAAATAACACTCTACAAGCATATGGTTTGGCAGGCAGAAGAGTTTTAAATTACATGACTATTGCATTACTTAACATAGGTAAGGAAAGGAAAGATATGTAAGAAAACATACCTTCTTTAATGGGTATTTAAATGTATGGCTTCAGGTTTTTATTCAAGGATAAGTGGTAACAGAGATTCTTAATAGATTTGTTTTTAATACTTCTTTAAACAGACCATTTAAAGAAACAAAAAATTAATAGCAACACCTGTTATTTTCAGAAGTTTGAACAAAATTTACTTAAAGCCTCTGTGGTAGATGTGGCCTTTACACAGATTAACTTTATCATGTGTCCAGTGTGTTAAAAATAAATCAATTAATTAGTTAAATATAAGCTCATAAGTAGTTTTGTACAAATCTAAAGTGAAGCCTTAACAGCTTTGAATGTCTCTTTAACAGAATCATCAATTAATCACAAATTTGATGCCCAGTATACTTTAAAAAGACAGAAAAAAGAAGCTCTGAATGACAGACAGGGCAAAGGAAGTGGTAACATACACAGTTCTCTGTTCTTTGGTCTTTTCCACTTTTCTTCAGCAGCTTTGGTTTTAACTGGAGGGAAAATAAAAAACAAAACAGAAGAAGAGAAGCAAGGGGAACAGTTAAAAGTGTTGCCCTTCTTCAGTGTCAGTTTGTAGATGAGTCATTCATTAGATCTGTTTATGTCATTGTAAAAATCAGAAGTTTTCACACGTGTGAAGCCTTTTTCAGCTTCTGGAAGTAGATACTGCAAATATTTTTGCTTTGAGTACAGTGGGACCTGCCTGAGACACAACTTGATTTTGACAGGAAATTTAAATTATTTTCCTTTTACTGGAAATTAATCCAGGGGATTGATGACTTAAAATGGTAATTCCTAGTTTTGGTTTTTGAGTGTGTTGATAATCTCCTGATTAATACTCTCAGGATAATTTTAACTTCAGAATACCTTTTCTTTTAGACACTTTACTGAAAAAAGAAAATGTGGTTGCTGTTGAGTCCAGTTATGTGCCACACAAGAGTTCCTAAATGTGTGCAGCACATGAACTTCAACCAACTACCTCTTTAAAACAACTATAAAAGTTATGAAATCCAGGAAGGTGTTTTTAATCTCCTTATGGAGATGTTAAAACTGCACAGATTTGCAAAATGAACAAAATGAGAAATACCACTCTGAGCCTACCTTGTAGACCACAAAGAAGGTGAACACAGTGGAGCTGTACACAAACAGCAAGGATGAGATGATGATCAGGAAGGTAAAGGCGAGTTTTCCATTGCTGTGCTGCTCTCCTGCTCCATTATGAACAGTGAGTGTTAGAATAAAGGACAGTTCTTCTGATTAATGTCATTTTCTTAAGATTGTGCATTCCACCCCCCTTCCTCTGAGCAGTTAAAAAACCTGATACTCATCAATATTTTTCTGGTTCATTTTTGGTCTAAATTCCTTCATGAGATCATTTTCCTTTTGTTTCCCCAGATGTTTGCAAGGGCAATGGAGACCTGTTAGTTTTGATTATGAACCCTTTCTTTAGGGGTAGAGAGAGAATGGAATCCAGTTACCTCTGAGTAAAGCTCACAGACTTCTGTTCTGGAATTAAATTAGATAGAGGAAGGAACACAGAAAGCAATAATCCAGCTAGGTGTTTCTTTTTTTTTCTCTTTCTATATTTTAGCATGTAAAAGTGAAATGTACTTATTGAAGTCTCATCATTTTCTTAACCAGAAGGCAAGTGATACAAAGGTTTAGAACTAAAACCTTTGTCTCAAGTTGGGACAGTGAATCCCCAGGTCAGCCCCTGGTCTCTGTTGCACGTACATCTTCTAAATATCCGTGTCTCTACTTCTCATTTTTCTGTTGACACTTCCTTTCTGATTGCCATTAAAACCTTTATGTAAGAGGCTGTAGAGTATGGTTAGACAGCAGCAGAACAAAACTTCTTCCTTTTGTGGAGTTCTAGCCATTTGCATCCTGTGACAGAACAGTCTAATTAGCAAACGAGGCTGAGATGCTTATTTGTAGAATGCCTTTGGTTTTACTATTAACATTTTAATATAGTCACACTACTCCTAATGGGTTTGTTGGTATTTCCATCTTAAATGTCATTCTTGAAAGTATAAATAGAAAGAGTGTTTAGAAAAGATAATTTATTTCTTCTAAGAAGCTTTGTTAAGAAGGAGTGAACAACTGACCTGTTTTCATTAGTACTGTTCCATCTCCTGTTTGTTTGGAACGGGGCGAATCTGAATCTGAGAAGGCAATTCCACAGATATAAACACCATTGTCTTCTACAGTCAGGTCTTTGATCTCAAGTGAAGTGTTGCTTTCTGATAAATGTACTTTGTACTTCTGGTGGTCTTTGCATGCAGGAGTACACAAATCCTGATGTGTGTGAGTTAAAAAGCGAAACCACAGAACGTCAGGTCGGGCCGGGGAACATCCAGAGGCAGAGAAAGCACATGTTAGGACCACGCTGCTCATGGGGGAGTCAGCTTCCTGAAATCTGGGTTGTGTTACAGTGACTTGGCAGTTGTCTGTAACACCTGTTGAGAGGGAACAATTGGTGATGTGAGGGACAGTTAAAAAGCAAGGTACAATCTATGGTACAGAGCAGTTCTGCAGGGGTTTCTCTCTCTGCTATTCCTGATCCGAGTCAAGTAAGGCAACCTGATGGCAGGCAGTGGAAATGTCATAAATTGGAGCATTTATAATTTAGCAACTTCATAACATTGATTAGAATTCACAATAGTTCCTAGACATTCTGCCACTTCATCACATGTATTGACTCTGGATTTCTGAGGATAATAATAGTACTTGTTAGTTCTGACATTTAAAGATGTGTGCAGAGAAAACAGGAAGGTTATCAGAGAATTCTAATTAAGGAACTGAAAGGTAAAGTTCAATATGACTGGTCTGGGAGATTTTTTTAAGTCCTTATTGAAATCCATAATGTAAATACTGTTTCAGTATATTTAAATTTTATTCAGATAATTGGCATAGTTATTTAAACTATGGAATTAAGATTATTGCTCTGAAAATGAAGGTAGTAGCTTAATAGCATCCTTTTCCACTTGCAAAAAATAACAACTTAGAAGAAAAATAAACAGAAGTCTCTTAGTCCTGTTCATATACAATTTATAAGCCTGTCCATGGTGAGCAGTCAGCATTGGCCCTTCATTATTTTGCTCACCAAATCCAAGCAGATTCAGTGTCTGTGACTTTCACGGGAATAAAATGAAACACTCGTTCTGTGTCAGATCAACATCAGAGCCTGCTGAGCTTCCCAAACCCTCCTCCCAAACAAACACAGTTGCACTGAGCTCAGGCTGCTGCTGGAGTGTTGTGAGCAGGGAAGTGCAGTGAGAATTGACTCAGAAATCACAGCTTACATGAGCATTTCAGACTTTTGGAAGAAAAAGCATTTGCTAGGAGTTGTTTAACTTGGAAGTTGTGTGAAGGTAGTAGAAGTTAACTTGATTCACAGAACTTTTCACTGCTCTTATTTTATAGCTCTGTTACAAATCATCACCACAAAATTCTCAGTCTTGTTTAACTGCTGTTACATGAGAAAATGTAAGAAACTTAAAAGAAGTCTTACCAGCACCGTACAGAATCCAGTCAAACGCCAGCACTAGCACATTTTTTAGTTTGTTCAAAGGTGCCATTTCTTGTATCTCTCTGGAGATGATTCTACTTGAAGGAAGAGGAACTTAGGAAATGTTTGGAGTTGCAGAACTGTCTGAATCACAAGATGTAGAACTTCCTGTTTAGAAGGGTGTTTACTACTGCATTTAGTAAACTGGTTAAAAGTACAGAACCAACCAGAAAGCTTTTGGGTTTTGTGCATGACATTGCTTGGAAAATGAGGGAAGAATTTTAAGTTTTGAACTTCAGAGAGTCGTACCTATAATCCTTCAGATAATTTCACTGGATAGAACAAGTAGCATGTTTTCCAGCATGATGCAAGGTGCTTGGCTTTTTTATAGCTATGACCCTCAGCAGCCTTTACTGTGTCAGCTGGTAGGTGGCCAGTGGAGGCACAAAGATTCTGTAGCCATCCACTGTCATGTGGAGGAAGCTTCACAGCAAGTCATCATTTTCAACTTGCTGATTCTATTTACTGTAATTATCTGCAGCCACCTTTGGCCAGACAGTGGGCATAAAGAATGTTATAAACATGGAAAATAGCTTTATTAAATTGTCTGTCCATGTCTGCTGAACACCAGCCTCAGTAGTGGAAGGTACCTTTTACCCACTCTTGGCACTGCAAGTTAAAAATGTAACAAAAGATAACCTTGAGAAGCTGCTGCTTTTGTACACTAGGAAAAAACTTGAACTGATCTTGCAACACGTCTGCAAGTGACTTGTCATCCTCCTGTGGGGAGTGGCATGGAATATAATCAGTGTAATTATGCTTTCTGTAAGAAAAGGAAGTTTGCTTTATAACTGAAACAAAACTGTTCTGTTTCCTCAGTAGGTGGCAAGTGGGAAAAGCCCTCAGAAGTTCTGGAAATCAAAGGGCAGACTTGGGAAGAGCAGGTGAATAGCCTGCCAGAAGTTTTCAGTAAAGCTGGTTTTGCCATAGAGGCTTTCACCAGACTGCCATACCTGTGTGAAGGTGACATGTACAATGACTACTATGTGCTGGATGACGCTGTCTTCGTCCTCAAGCCAGTGTAAGGTGTCTGAAGTAAACCTCCAGAATCTAACCCAAGGAGCAGCCTCTGAAAGAGGGTTTTGATTTTATGGTTACTTAAAGGGAGGGAATTTTTGGGATTGCCATGCTAAATGAATACCGTGTAAGAAATTTAAAGGCCAAAATACTAATGTATTTCTTTGTAGTGTGATTGGGGGGGGGGGGAAAGGTTGTTTTTTAAACAGACTCCTCCATTGAGAATTTCTTTTTTACTTGCTCTTAAACCAACAATGCATTCTGCAATCCAGCAGCAATGGGGGATATTTTTTTATATTTACCTGCAACAGGGATCAGATCCAAACAAAAGCAATATTCCTAATAATGGTGAAACTGATACAGTGTGAACTGTTAAAAAAATCAAGCGAAATCTGGCAATAAAGTTATCCATTCAGTTCAAGCCTTGTTGAATAAAAACTGTTAAAATGGATATTCTTCCATGCTAAGTTACTTTCTTACTGTCATTCTTCACGTTTTTAATCATGCTAATAAACTTTTTTGAGATGACTTTTGCATTAACTTTTGTGTTCATTTTTGTAACCACAGCCACACTTACCTGCAGCAACTGCTCTTTGTGTTGAGAATCAAGTTTGCAGCAGCAGCACCACCTTGCATTTGTTTAAACAGCATTTGATTATTTTTTGAAGGGATAACAGTCCACAAAAAATGTATCACTTTTGGTTGGGTTTCCTTCATGTTCTCTCAAGGCCTCATAAATTCTCATTGCTTTTGCATATGCCATCTTCCAGCTAAAGGGGTTACGGTAGAACTTGCCAAAACTGCACTTTAAAATGATGGGTTTAATAAGAAGCTCTCTGAGCAAATTGTTCCCAAATGTTTTCAGCTCAAAAAACTTGCAGGCAGTTTCTTGCAAATTTTGTGAGTCTGTCTGCCTCTGAGGATCAGGCCCTGGGGACTTGATTGGGAGGGTTTTGGTAGCTTGAGACATTTTCTTCAGGAGCACTAAACAAATGCTATTTTTTTAACATGTCTTGTTTTAAAAAACTGTTTAAAGTGGATAATTTCTGGCAGTTGGGATATAACCTTTAAAACAACAAGCAGCAGCAGAAATAGTACAGAGCTGGCAGCAGTATGTCTTGCAGTGCTTGGGCTATAAGTGTGAGAGAGCAGAGAAACCTCAGCTTTTATATCATCTGGTAAGTAAAGTAAGAACTAATTTATATTGCTTTTGAAGTCTAAAAAAGTTGTGTGTTGGGGTTGTTATAATTACTGGTGATCTTATGCCAGGTGGGATGCCATGAGTGTGTCATTTTAGGTTTGCCTTGGGCTGGCTTTGTCTGATGGTTAATGATTTCTGTTGCCAATTTATGAGCCTTTTATTCTCAATCATCTTTGTGGAGTAGTTGGTATTCTGTAGGATAGGGTGAGGGGGTTTTCAACAGTAATTCAGACTCAGTATTATTCTCATTTCAGGATGATGCTGTTGAATTTTTGCACATAGTACAATGAGATTTGTCTGTTGGGAAAATGAGCTATGTATGCTCTGGAGTGAATCCATTAATTTATCTTCTGTTCATCTTGTAATCACCTAGTAGTGGGAAAATGTTTTTTAATGTGTAATGAATTTAGCTTAAAGTAGCAAATACGTATTAAGACAAACTTCTTAAAAGGTACTTAAGTGTTTTAATCCCACTGGTTAAAAATCACACAAGGGACTGCATTTCATGTCTCTCATCTTTTAGTCCTGTCACTTAAAACTTCAGTTTGTAACAGCTTTGAGAAGTTTTGGGACAGAAGGTGCAATGTAAATAGTAGGTTTTTGTTTTATTCTTTCTTATGGTCTACTTTGTTCACTCTATTTAAACAAGTATTCTTACACTTGAGATGGGGAATTAAAACACGAGCAGTAATGGAGAAAAGCTTTCTACGAGTAAGCCTAAATTCAGCAGGGTTGAAAACCTGCTTAGTCCTGTTGAATAAACAGAATAACTCTGAGGGGACTGTACCTACACCTGAATTTCTAAAGCCAGAGTTCCTTGTGAGGGAAGGAGAGCAGTGCAGCTCATTGTGTCAGGAAAGGGGCTTCCTTCTCCTTTCAGGCCTTGAGGGAGCGTTTGATGATCGCAGTTAATACCTGCTCACAGCCCGTGCAAAGAAACTCGAGTCCAGTAGTTCATTAAATTCCCCAAAATACTTTAAAACGTCATCTAAGGGGACAAGTGTTGCAATTCCAGTGTCCAAATTCATTACTCCCAGGTTTGGAGGTCCTGCCTTGTCCCTCTGCTGTTCCTCTCCTGCTGTGGGAGACAAGTGTGCGAGTTGTCCTTTGGTGGTGGTCTCACTAATGTGTGGTGTCTTGCCCTGGAGAGTAACTAAACTGTGTGTTCTGTCAAGGTGGCACTGGATGTGTTGCATCACAGGAAGAAGATGCTGTGCAAGGGTGTGATTTAGCCAGAAACTTTCAACACAAAGAACAACTTCGTCTCACGAAACCACAGCCCCCTTCTGCTGGGTGACCCAAGGTCAGTTCATGTTCTGCTCTGAGGAGCCCAGGGCCCCCTGCCCGTGCTTGGGGTGGGGAGATGAGGGGAGCAGGGCAGCACCAGCCCAGCCCTGGGTATCCCCACACAGCTCCTTGAGGTCTCTTCATCTCTGGAGGGGAAACAACCTCTCCTGCCTGCCGTGGGAGTCCCTGGCCCTCTGAGCCCCCCACAGAGGAGGTTTTTCCCCTCCCCTCTGGCTGAAGGCCGGTGCTGCTGGGCAGACACCTGGGGCGGTGCTGGCCCCTGTCCCTGCCCCTGCTCTCAGGGTCCCTGCCTGGAGCCGCCCAGCTCTTGGCACTGCTGGGAAGGAGGCGCACACAGCAGAGGCAGGTAAAGTGCTCCGGGGTCCTGGCTCTCCCCAAGAACCCACAGTCTCCTTCTCTTCTGCCCTCCTCTCTCTCCTTTTCCAGTCTGGACCCCTTGTGGGTTCCCTCACTGCATGTGGGGCTTTTTGTCAGAGGTGCTGAGAGCCCGGGTGCAGGGGTGGGCACTGGCAGTGCAAGGGTTTATCAGCAAGACTTGTGATTATGAGGTCAGCTTTCTGGTTATCCAGCTTCAGATAAGACAGCAACTGCATTGGAGAGGGTGATAAAATGTCTAGGATTTCTGTACATGGGAGAGCGGCTGTTTAGGGAGCAAGAGGAGAAGGCGGTCTGGGAGCTCCTTAAGGGTGACTTGTCAGAGATCTGATCACAGCATATGCAAGGAACAATCTCTGGGGAAATGCTGGATAGGATCTGCAAGAGATCCCCACAGAGCGATTTGGGATTGTCTGAAAGCCGCAGTGAACTGCAAACAGACTTAGTTTCACTGACAAAAGGAACTATTTCCCACAGATTGTCTTGCCAAGCAGGGCTGTTTCACAGCAGACTTTTTCCTGCACCTGCTGATTTGTCTGCCTGAATTAGTCAGGATGAAAAAGGCCTTTCCTTAGTATTTTATCTCCTTATATATTGAGTTATAATTGAAATACACTCCCGATTGAAGTGAATGAATTGGAATAAACAAATCAGGACTGACATTGGAAGCATGATTTAAACTATGCAGAGTAATCAAATTAATAGGGCAGAGGCAGAAACAAATACAAGTAAGTTCATTGTGTAGGAAACCAGATATATCTGAATGAGAGACATGTACTGTGGTGCTCCCAAAAGAATAGCTGAAGAGGGTTTCAGTGTGTGTAAAAACAAGACAGAGGCGATAGTTCTTAAAGTCTAATGTTTAAATTTTTCATCATCTGTCAGTTTGAGTCACTTCTCTTACAAGACTGGAGTTAAGTATTTGCAACAGACTGAAGTATTGCTGGAGGCTGTTGAAAGAGGTTTTCATAAAAGAGCACCTTGATACATGAGATTAAACAATCCAAGAAAGGAGTTCGTATTTATCAAATGTTCAGATCTGTAACTCAAGCTGTGGCAGAGAACTTTGAAAAAAAAAAAAAAAAGAGAGCGAGAATGGATCCAAACTCAGCAACAAAAGGAAATGCAGAAATTCAGTGTGTTGCAGATAAACCTTTGAAATGAGGGAAAGGGAGAGAAAACCTAACAAAGTCATCTCAGGGTCAGAGCCAAGTTGGCCAGTGGGGCCCTCTGTGTCATTTGTTAAAATCAGTGACTAATCCCAGCTAAGGAGCCATGATCTGTGGAGTAGAGCATCATCCAATATCAGATTAATCAATGGTTTTACCTGTAGGGGTGGTGACTCAGGGCTGAGCCGAGGGACAGGCTGAGGGTGCAGAGGCAGAAGATCCTCTCTGCAGTAGCTCAGTACCTTGTGCATTAAAGCAACTCACGGGCAGAGGGGATGTGGCTGCAGAAACTCCTGTGAGTGAGACCTGCTCAGTCTCAGCTTCCTTTCCATCCTGTGGCATTACTGCAGTGTGGATCCTTGTCCTGCAGGAACTAGACCCAAAGCAACATATTCATTTTGTTTAGGACAACTGTGAGACTGCCAGTTTGTGACACCCCAGTGAAAAGCTCTGGGTGTCCCCTTACTGCCCTTCCAGCTTATTTGTCTTTCAGAGATCTTTCTGCCACACAGCACAAAGCAGCAGGGATGGCAAGAGCTACTAAACCATCTACTTCTGTAAAACTGTGTCCGGGGTGATGGTGGGACACTGATGGTACACGTCTCCTGAGTGCAAGGACTACAGCTTTGATCCATCTAAATGAAGTGACATGGTCTTGCACTCAAATGTGTCACTCTCCCTCTGCTTCAAAAGAGCAGAAGGACAGTCTCTCCCTTTTTGCAGAGCTCTGGCAGCAGGGAAGGGGAACTTTCCTTCCCCCTCCCTGCCTGGAGCACCCTGCAGTGACCAGGGGCAGGGACAGGGCCAGACCCCCCACCCTGTGAGTTCAGAGAGCTGCAGATGGAGGTCCCAGACCTGTCTGCAGGGATGGTGCAGGCACAGCCTGATGAGCTGGGAAAGGCTTAGGCTTGGAGCTTCTTTATTATTTCCATTTTCACTCCCTCTATTTCTCTTCTATTTTATCTGATTTTAAAAGGATTTGTTTTCTTGCTTTAACAAACCTGCATTGAAGTAGTATTTAGCTGGAGTGTGACTTACTAAATAAATGGTGCTACCAGGAAGAAAATTAAACAAGCCACTTGGTAAAAGGGAAATAAATCTGGCTGCACCTCCACACTTGGCATGTGTTTGCATAAAATATATCTCTATCCTGGAAAAAGATCTAAATTAAAAACTTGGGAGCAAACACTTTCGGAACGTTCTGATCTCTATCTGTACTCCACAGCATAGGCTGTCTCTGATTTATAGCTATGAAAGTTTGAGGTGAATATTGCCTTTTGACTGTTCTTTCTATTTTTCTTTTCAATCCAAATGTCTTTTGATTCTAATAAACACCAGAAGAAATGTCCAGACTTTTGAAGATATGTTTCTTGTTGATATCAGTGAATCATGCTGAGATTATTCACAGTCAGACCTCTGAAGGTAAGACCAGAATTCCTGTCTGAGGAGTGTATCTTGGGTGGAAAAAGCTGTGT